GCAAAGTTTTAATTGTCTCCCTTATAACAATTTGAATGACTTACAACTTATTACCTGATTGTACTTTTTGTGGTAATATTACAGCTGTACATTAGTACTGTACTGCTGTTTTGAATGGTGCTAATGTTTATGATACTTTTATTGTGTACACTGTAGTATGATGATCGCACTTCACCAATGGATAAACACATGGAAGTTATAATCAACAGACACGGTCTGGCAGCAGCACCGGTAACACCACAGTTGTTTGGAAATGCTGGTAAAGAACACATGGAAAAATATGGTGAGATTTATATGATTATGTAACAGTCTTTATGTACAATTGCACAGTGTAAATTCTAAAAAAATTGAATTTTTTTATCAATTATAAAATACTATAAAGTTCAAAAAGGTAGACTAAAACACAGTGACTCAACACTGTTGTTAAGTACTTCAATCATCTTTAGTCACTGAGTTCTTCTGCAAAGGTGGTTTTTCAATAGGCATTTGATTGCCTGCATGTGAGGTTTAGAGCAGATCTCAATTAATTGTCGAAAGTAATCAGGCAATGACTTTCATTGATTTTGGTTTTGGTTTTGCTACTGTTTGAGATTGGCTGAGGAGTCTACTGGTAATTAACTAATCATTGGTGTGGTTTTGGTGTTATGGCACTCAATTGAAAACCACTCTAATATTTGCAGCCTTTTTTTAATCCTAAAATTAATACATGACTTAATTTTACAACACATCTATTTTCTTGAATCTTCATACAGGGACCAAGGCAGACCATTTTGCCAAAATTGCATACAAGAATCACCTACATTCTGTTGAAAACCCGTAAGGCATCTGTATTAAATGCAAGTGTCAATAACTACATGTACTCCAACATCAGTAGACATGTTTGGAGGTTGATTACCCAGGAATATGATATACATCTAGGAACTTCCAGTTAACACCACCAGTCCATAGACTGAGAACCACTTCCACTTTAAGACAGTGGTTGGCAATGCCGATTGCTTATTCAGCCATCAATGTGCCCTAGCTCACCTCTTCCAGTGACTTATCAGTCAGAAAGGAAAGGGTGGCAGGAATGTGGGGTAGCTAGGAAGAATTTCCAAAGCCTTTAAGATGACTGAAAACGTTGTTAATTACTGAAACATATCATGCTATGACCCAGCTGAGTGTGCATCAAAGGCTTGAGCCATCGGCTTCCAGACATTGTTCGTGTAGAAACTCACTCTTTAATAAATAGTCTTATAGTTTGTTAATAAAAATGTATTAATAACTAATAAATATGTGGTTGCCAATATTTGGAGGGGAAAGACTATAATATTATTAGAATTTGGAAGAAGGAAATATACATTATTACTGATTGAATTGATTTTAATCAGCAACAACAGCAACAATTTTATTTGTACTCAGCTAGAAATTAGATGAACAAAAACAAGTTAACAATGAATCATGCAAATTTAAACTACTAGCATCTTCCTTAGTTTACATTGGCTTTTAATATGGGTGGATTATCATTTGATTACACATTTATTTAATTTTTATTTCTTTTTCTTTCCTTAAAGGTTATCTCAGTTCAGGAAAAAGTACTCTTTAGAAGAAATAAAAAACTCTCGCATGATATTTGATCCATTGACTATGCTGCAGTGCTGGTAGGTTCATATTAAAACTTGTGATAAAAATTTTTTAACAGATATGTAAAATTATTTGAGGGACAGTGTCCCAGCTGATGATTTTATGTTTTTAGAAGTATGGATGGTAGCATGCTGTAAAATTGTATTATTATCTTGTTGTCATAATGGAACTGCTAAAGACCAAAACATCAAAACTGGTCAGAAATACTCAACTAAATAAAATTAAAATATATATATAAATTTACATGTAATTATAATTATTTTACTTTATGACTAAAAAATTATCCTTCACCACTGGAATGGCATTCTTTTTTACATGTAATTTCTTGACATTCTTCATGCAAGATTTTGCGACGTGGGCCTCGTCAGTAGAGATTATTTATTAATATTATTAGGATGCCTGAGGTGTACCACTTCCAATCGTTCCAATCTTTCATTATTTCAATAATGATTTTCTCTGGGCTGTAATATGCATTATACAAATTAAAGTAATCATAAGGATGGGGTTCCGTTGTAGTTTGCCTTATCACGACTACAGTCACATGACTGTACATGTACAGTATACCTGGGCTTCAGTACCCTCCCTTGCCAAGACGTTAATCTTATCTTATTTATAGTATTTGCGAATGTGAATTCTAGTCCCACATCAGATGGCAGTGCAGC